GTGAATGATGACATTTCCGCTGAACTTTGCATGGTTTCCTACGCATCTTTTGATGCGGCGGTTCGTATGGTGAGGGCGGCGGGCCCAGGGGTGTTGCTGGCTAACGCGGATGAGGAATCTGCCTTCTGGCTGCTCCTGGTGCATCCAGAGTGTCTTCATCTTGTGGAAATCTATTCACAAACCGGACTTTACATAGGACACGAGGCCATGCGTTTAGACTGGAAGAAAGAAGATTTCGTCTAAGGCAAAGGAAAGGTTTTTTTACTGTAAGAACAATCAGGATGTGGAATTCTCTGCCTGAAGAAGTGGTTTTATCAGAGTCCATACAGATGTTCAAACGGCTACTAGATGCATACTTGCAAGAACAGAATATTCAAGGATATAATCTTTCAATGTAGGGTAATAACTGCTTGATCCAAGGATAAATCTGACTGCCATTCTGGGGTCAAGAAGGAATTTTTTTCCTAGCTTGTTGCAAAATTGTGCTTCAAACTGGGTTTTTTTGCCTTCTTTTGGATCAACAGCAAAAAACAAATGTGAGGTAGGCTGAACTTGATGGACGCAAGTCTCTTTTCAGCTATGTAACTATGTAACTATCTTTTGGGGTGTGCCTTTGAGGGCCAGTTTTTTGTGGACATGTGCCTCCCTATGGGTTGCTCGCTGTCAAGTTTTTATTTTGAGTGCTTTAGCACTTTTCTGGAATGGGTGGTGTGGAGGGAAGCAGGGGTCGCTTCCCTCCTGCACTACCTAGATGATTTCCTGTGTGTAGGTCCGGCGGAGTCACACGTCTGTGCCCTCCTGCTGTGGGTTCTTGGGGAGGTGTTTCGTTGGCTCATGACAAGACAGTGGGTCTGGTCACGTGCCTGAGCTTTCTGGGCATCGAAATTGTTTTGATAGCAGGGTAATGTCGGCTGCCACAAGATAAGGTCTTGGACCTGCGCCTAGCGGTGTCCCGGGCCTTGGGGCGGCGTAAGATCCAGCTGCCCTGCCTGCAGTCTCTGCTGGGGAAGTTCAATTTTGCTTGTCGGATCTTGCCAATGGGGCGTATCTTTCATAGGCACTTAGCGGTGGCAATGTCGGGGTTCGTTCATCCCCGGCATTTTATCCAGCTTACCCGGCCCTTGCGAGCTGACTTGGCCATCTGGGATTCCCTTTTGGCCTCCTATAATTGCAGGTCGTACTGGGAGGCCCGGAGGTCTCTAATGCAGACCTCCATTTGTTTACCGATGTGGCGGGCTCGGCCGGCTTTGGGGCCATTCTGGGCGCCAAATGGTGCGCTGACTCGTGGCCGGAGGCCTGCCATGTGATGGGGCTCACTCGGAATTTGGCATTTCTGGAGCTCTTCCCTATCTTGGTAGCTTTGGAAGTATGGGGTTCCCTGCTGGTAGATAGACGGGTGGTCTTCCATTGTGACAACTTGGGAGTAGTGCAGGCTATCAACCAGCTGTCTGCTTTTCCCCCCCCACCCCCGTGGTTCGCTTGATGCGGCGCCTAGTTCTGCGCTGTCTGGAGCTGAATGTTTATTGTAGGGCTGTGCACATCCCGGGTGTTCGTAATGTGATGGCCGATGCTCTCTCTCGTTCACAGTGGGACGGGTTTCGGGCAGTGGCTCCGCAGGCCGAATTGTAGGGTGTCCCGTGTCCGACAGAGATGTGGTCCTTGGGTCTGACAGACTAATGGAGTTGGTCCGTGGGTCGGTCGCTGCGGCCACATGGGACCGCTATAACAAGGTTTGGAGGGAATGGGACGGGTGGGAGATGTCCCACGGGGGCTTCCGGGACTCGTCCACTCACCTGCAGGGTTTGGTTCTTCTCTTGGGGGATTGGGAGGCTGCGGGGTTGTCTCCCTCGGCCATTTCGGCACGCTTGACGGTGCTCAGCTTCCTGTTTAAGTTGCGGGGTTGGGACGACGCTACCAAGGCGTTCATTGTACGCCAGGCGCTAAAGGGTTTGAGGCGGGGGAGGGTGTCTACGCGAGACTTGAGGTGTCCTGTCTCGCACACGCTCCTAACTACTTTGTGTGAGGCTTTGCACAGGGTTTGCCATTCGGATTTCGACATTTGGCTCTTTCGCCTGGCCTTTTCCTTGGCATTCTTTGGTGCCATGCAGAGCTGGTGTGCCCCAGCTGGCAGCAAATGGGGGGGGTGCTGTTCGGGGACGTTTCGTGCACTGCTGATCGGATCTCGTTCAGGATATGCCGCTCTAAGACGGATGTCTTAGGGAGGGGTAGTGGGTCCAGTTGGGGGCCGTGCCAGGTTCCGGCATTTGTCCTGTTTGGTCCTTTGGGGAATATTGCGCTTTGCACCCTTCTCCCGTGCTGCCACTCCTGGTGCATTGGGATGGTAGTTTCCTTTCCCATTTCCAGTTTATTAGAGTGTTTCGTTTGGGGCTGGAAGCCGTGGGATTGGATAGCAGGGAGTTCGGGGGCAATTAATTCCGTATTGGGGTGGCTACCGAGGCCTCTAGGCTTGGCATGCCAGCGCAGGGGGTTGAGAGGATTGGTAGGTGGGACTCGAGACGTTATGTTTCGTATGTTTGTCCGGCCGGTTTATTGACGTGATTTATTTCCACAGTTTCGGTTTCCCCCCAGGATCTGGATCATCGGGCACTCTTATGTTTACTGTTCTCGGCAGCGTGCGGAAGTTTGGCCTGGAGGCGAGAGGTTGGGTTTCACGCCTTCCGAAGCAGAGGTTCGATGGCTCGGTGCGAGGGGTATGAGGTGGTCCCGGCTCCTCCCCGAGTTGGTGAAGTTGTCCCATCTACTGGGGGCGCCGAGTGTCCTGGTGATCCACCTGGGGGGGGGAATGATCTGGGTTCAGTGCCCATTTGGGATTTGATTTCGGCAGTGAAGCGGGACTTAGCCCGCATTTTGGTTTTGTTTCCCAGCATGCGCTTGGTGTGGTCTGAAGTCATTGCCCGTAACTATTGACGTGGCGCCAGGAGCCAGAGTGCCATGGAGCGTTGCCGACGCAAGTTAAACAGGCAGGTTTCCCAGTTTGTTTTGGAGATTCGGGGGATCCCAGTCCGCCACAGGGTTTTTGAGCGGGAGGCGGCTCATTTTTTTTCGGGGGATTGGGTATACCTAACGGAGGTCGGGCTCGACCTTTTTAATCTCGCCCTACAGGAGGCGGTGGAACAGGCAATGGGTGGTTTTGGTGGGGTTCCCCGCTGATTTAGGGGTAAAGAAGCGGGTGTGGTGGCGGGGGTATGTCCTTGCCAATTAAGTTTGAGGAGTTATGTTTAAGGATGGAGTAAGTTCATTATGTTTGCAGGTCTCAACCTCCCCTGCTTCAAAAGGTTAATATTAGGTTGTCTGAGGTGTCGTGCCCATCGAGCGTAGATAAGGTCGGCTGATGGCGGGCATTGGAAGGATATGATTTTATGACGAGTGGGGAGGTGAGAGGAAGTGGTTATTAGGAACCACTGTATGTTTATTGGCAAGGACGGTTGGGTCACTGTATAACACTATGTGTTGAGTTATATATGTATATATGTTAATTTATGATTATTTATTTCTAACAATTTGGTTACAGAAAAGAAGAGTTTAATAAATAAAGTTATGGATGTGTTATGCAGTAATGTATTTATGTTATAATAAATGCTGTGGCCTGTTCATCCATACTAAGTTGTCTGTCGTTATTGGGGGGTTGATTGGGGTTAGTTATGTTTATGTTGCATCGTAATTCCCCACTATGTACATACACGAACACATTTGTAAAAACTTTGTAATGCCCAAGATCTTTGCCTGGGTTATTTGCTGACTTTGTGTGTGAATCAGTCGGGGTAGGACATGTACAGTAAAAGATATGCCAAACATCTGCAAACAGTAGGTCATAAAAAAATGTCTATCCAGAAGCAATAGGCTATCTAATGTATATGAACGTGTGCATTTTAATATTCACTAATTGTTTTTAGTTGCCTGGGATAGGCTCTGTAATGTTTATATGGGGTGTAGTGAGTGCAGGGGGTAATATGAACACCAGTGGGTGTAGGGGGCTTAGGTCTATAATGTTGGGGGATGGGGTATTGGTGGGGCTTGGGGCAGTGTTAGTGTGGGGTAGAAGTTGTGATTGGGGATAGGGCATGTAGAGTGGGAATAAGGGCAGTAACGTTGCATAAAGGCTGTGACTGTATGTGTGACTGTGTGTGTGATTGTCTGCCTGTGACTGTGTGTGTGACTGCCTGTGACAGTGTGTTTGATTGTCTGCCTGTGACTGTGTGTAAAACTTTCCTGTCTTGTAGGAAATTAGCTTTTCTTCAGATGTTTGTTTGTCACACACCAGTGTTCAAAATGTATATTTATTCAAACATAAACAAAATCCGAAAAATAACTTTAAAGTCTTTGCACAGTCTTGACCAATACTGAGCAATATGTAAGCACTTCAAGATAGAATCCAATTTTGATGTTAAAAGTATTGGTAACAAAATCTTAGCTACAATTATTTTTATAGGTTTAAAATTCAGTTATATGGGTGCATAAACATAAGGTTGCCTTACTTTAAAATAAGTGGCTATAATAGAAAAAGGGTAGTGACTTAGCATCATTTGAAATCTATGATTAAAGCCATACATTATATTTAGGCGGTAAAATAGAAGTTACACAAAAGAAGTTCTATATACGTTTTTCACCGTAGTGTTCTAATTGTTCGTCTGTTTTTCACCGTAGTGTTCTAATTGTTCGTCTGGGTGGCAGCGATTCCTATGAACAACCACGAGGTGGCGGCCATCTTGTTCACATGAATGCAGGCAGCGGTGTTTGGGCATGAATCTCATGGAACTGAAATCGGATACAGAAACTCCCGAACACCGCTGAACTTCCATCATCGCCTGCGTTCGTTTCTATTCAGCTTAGAAGGGCACTGTTCGGTGAGATCATTCATCTGGATGAAGAGAACAAGCTCCATGGTAAGACTATTGACTCTGTTTGGTAGTTTGTTCCTTTGTTTGTTCGTTTGCAAACTACCAAAATAGACTGGCTGCACAGCCAAATCCTCTGGAACTGTTTTGGGCATGAATTCATGCGTGTGGTCGGTCAAAAGAGACTTCCAGGAATTTCCTGAACCCTTGCCCTGATCTGGGTGATTTTTAGATATGTTGTTATGGGGATGTGTTATGTTTTGTGGTGTTTTCTGTACTTTGGGGAAAATGTGTGTTTTTCTGCCTGTATTATCTACCTTAATTGTATCACAGGCAAAGGGGAGGGATTGTGTAATGTATGTAGGAGTGTCGTTCATTGTTACACTGTTTTTATTGGCTTGCATGTTTTGTGTCCTGTGCCCCACAAGGTCTACCTGGGCATCAACCTTGTTGGGAAAATTGTATAAAAGGCCAGTGTGTCCCAGTAAACTCAGATTCCAGCTTACACTCTGTGACGGACCGCTGGCACTCCGACTGAGTACCTCCGCCAATCGATGCTCCTAGTGCTCGCTGAGGACTCCAAGCACTCCAACTGACACCATCAGCACTGCAGATCCCACTTCCAGCGATGCAACTGCGCCAGGGTCTCTGCTGTCTCCACCCACCCTGGACCCAAGGCCAGGATCCAGCTTCCAGTGGGTGAACCTCTCTTTCCCCAGAGAGCAGGAACAGGAACAAGCTCTTAGCAGAACTTAGTGATCATACCCTGGGGAGTATAGTGATTATATGCTGGAACAAGACTGATTTACTGGCACACAGAACTCACAATTTATGCAACACAAAACTCCTCCTCTGGGCCAGGCTAGATAATTGAGTTTCTACAATACACAAAGCTCAATTATCTGGTGGCCAGAAATAATACAGTTTTTACAGCATTCATAACTTCTAAAATATACATCACATTCACAATCAATCCATCCAGGGAAACAACATATCAAAAAATGGCATGAATCAGACCAGGGGTTCAGAAGTTAGTAAAGTATCTTTTGGGGCCTGGCTGGCAGCATGGCTATCTGGCCCAAACTGGTTTTACAGAGCCCTCTAGCCTGGAGACAATGGGGAAAGTAATCATATTATCCAGGGATAGAAGCAGACTCCATTGAGCACATGTTCCCAGTAAAACACAAAAGGATACAAAAATACATAACTCCTATCATTCTGAATTCAACGGGCCAAATCTCCCAGGGTCCATAGTCACAGGGCAAGAGGCGGGCAAGCAGTCCTCTCCAGGCACAAGCGGCGAAGGGCACTTCGTCACACACTCCATAACTGTGTGTCGTCCTGTTATTGGAGGGAAAGAAGATTTTCTCCTGTGTCTGCTGTTCCAGCTTGCAGGAGATTCAACGGGGAAAGTCCTTGTATGGACTAGAGCTAATTCCCTATTTGGTTCCAGAATTCCAAGGACTGAGTGTTGTTGAGTGTAGTTAAAATTAATATGCAAAAATACTCTGCTTTCATCGATATCAAGCAATTGCAAACACAACACCAGTTAATTTAAAAAAAAGTCTTTGTGAAATACATGTGGGGCACAATTATCATCCCTATTAATTCATATGAGAAAATTATATTTGAAGTATTTCTCATCGATATTTTACATATGCTAGTATACCTTGTTCATCGATGACTGTCTGTTTCACAGGGGTATAAATATGAGGTAACATATAAGCCAAATAACCTTAGTTATTCATTACAATAGATTAGACCATGGACTATAGCTGTGATGTGCGGCAAAAGGTTCTTGGGCTTCTCAAAATGGGAAGTGACTATTAGAAAATAGCAAAAGTGTTGATAATGCCCATTGTGACGAGAGCAATCTCGCCACATTGCATTGGAGAAGCCTGGTTGCTCGCCTGTTGCCTTTAGATTATGGCCCCATGTTAAAAGACATCTTTTTTACCTGCAGAAAAGATTTATTCGTTCTTTTCTGCCTGGTGTTCGGTAGATTCAATCTACCGAACAACCGCACGAATGACTGGACCACCTGGGAGCTGGAGTGTGCCGGCAATTAGCCTCCCTGAAGCTGCGATTAACCGCAGCTCAATTGACGAATGCTGGGTGGCCGCCATTCGTATCACGAACACGAGGTCGCGGCCATTTTAAACATGCGAACGCACAGCGGTGTTCGATGCTTAATTCATGGAACTGAAATCAGACACAGTTTTGCGCGAACACCACTGAAGCCGCCGACCTCCCTTCTTTTTCGGTGAAAGTGCACGAACGGCCCGGTGTTTGGTAGTTTTGCTTGAATGTGTTATACCCCATGGAGCCCATTCACATGGGAAACTGACTGTGTAGAGACTTTGGCTCCGATTACACTGTATTCGTGTGGTCTAGGCGCCATTCGCTTAATAATGTGCGCTCAGACCTGAGCTATCTGGGGACATGTTAAATGTATGCTTTTAATGTTATGTGTCTCACATAGTGCATTTTAATAGTAATTCCTGTGTTAGTATCCCCACGTGCATAATGGCAATTTGCCTTTGTCTTGGGAGATAATTGAATTACTTCTCGATTATCTCCAAGGCAGAGGGGAGGAAGCCAGGATGCATTGTGGGAATAAAATGTGACTGTGTGTCCTGTTTGGCTGATTGTCTGTCTTTTGTCACAGTCTCCCATTTGGTCCCCTAGGGGAGTGTCCACCAGGTGGGAGACCTGCATAAATACTGGGCAGGTAGCCCTCATTAAACCTGACCACTGCTTGACCACACGGAGCCTTGTCTCGTCTTTGGGGGGATTTACTGAACGCTGATAGAGACTGATTGCTAGGAGTGTAAGCCGCTTGGATGCTTTTCATATTCGTCTGCTAGTAGCGATTCATAGGGTTCCAGTTCGTGTGTTTGGAGTGTTACATTGGATGCCGTTCGGGAGTTTGGAGCATTCCCTTATCTGCGGTTCGAGATTTTGGTGTTCTACAATAGCTGTGCCTGCATCTCTGGAAAGGGGGACGATCGCCTAAATGGTTTTTACCCCTTGTGTGCAAAACGGTCCGTTACACCCATTTCCACCATAAGGGCAATAATTAAGAAATTGAAAGTGTGTGTCTATATTGTCTCAACGCTCTGTGAAGAGGTACATCATCATACTAGTGTGCAGCCATACCTGGTAGGATGGTTCGAGTGGCCAAAATAAAATCTCCAAGGCTTACAGCTGGAGAATTGCAGAAGTTAGTTGTTGTTATCATGGGGTCAGAAAGTCTTGAAAATTACAATTCAATGTTAAAGGACCACTCTAGGCACCCAGACCACTTCAGCTTAATGAAGTGGTCTGGGTGCCAGGTCCTTCTAGGGTTAACCCATTTTGTCATAATTATAGCAGTTTCAGAGAAACTGCTATAATTATGAATGGGTTAAGCCTTCCCCCTAATCCTCTAGTGGCTGTCTCATTGACAGCCACTAGAGGCGCTTGCGTGCTTCTCACTGTGATTTTCACGGTGAGAGCACGCCAGCGTCCATAGGAAAGCATTGTAAATGCTTTCCTATGAGACCGGCTGAATGCGCGCGCAGCTCTTGCCGCGCGTGCGCATTCAGCCGGCGGGGCGTAACGGAGGCGGAGAGGAGGAGGAGAGCTCTCCGCCCAGCGCTGGAAAAAGGTAAGTTTTTACCCCTTTCCCCTTCCAGAGCCGGGCGGGAGGGGGTCCCTGAGGGTGGGGGCACCCTCAGGGCACTATAGTGCCAGGAAAACGAGTATGTTTTCCTGGCACTATAGTGGTCCTTTAACTACATTACCACAAGTTGTTTGGAAGGGTTTAAAAAAAGCCTCTACTATCATCCAAAAACAAACTCAAGCATCTCTAGCTTGCCAGACACTACTGGAACGACAACTGGAATCGGGTTCTATTGTCAGATGAAAACAGAGCCTTTTGACAATTAACACCAGAGGTTGGTTGACGTACACCTCATGCCAGTGGTTAATATGGTGGTGGCTCTTTAATGTTTTGGGGCTGTTTTTCTGCCATTGAACCTGTACATTTTGTTAGGATGCATGTCATCATTTAACAGATCAACAGATATTTAATGAACACCTGACTGCCTCTGCCAGAAAGCTGAAAATTGGCTGTGGTTGGATTTTCCAGCAGGACAATGATCAAAACCACACATTAGCTCCTTAAGGACCAAACTTCTGGAATCAAAGGGTATCATGACATGTCACACATGTCATGTGTCTTTAAGGGGTTAAAATCAACACAAAAATGGTTTGCTGACCACAAAATCAAGGTCCTTCCATGGCTATCTTAGTCCCCTGACTTGAACCCCAGAGAAAACCTGTGGGGTTAATTGAAGAGTAGAGTCCACCAGTGCCAACCTTGAAATTTGAAGGATCTAGACCAGTGGTAGTAAACCTTTTTCCACTTAACGCCCACTAATGCATCTTTCTTGATGGAAACATTTCCTTACCGCCCACCAGTTTTTGCGCAAGCGCAGAATATTTTTTAGAAAGGAAGGTATTTTAAAAAAAAAAGTACGTACATTTATCTTTTTATGTCTACTTTATGCATGTTTATAATGTTTTTAACTTTATAAAGTTTAACGAGGAAGCAATAAAGTAAATTGAAATTACCTTTACTAGTGATTAATGAGATCCTTGAGGTTGATGCTGGGAGACTAAATATTTGATATCTGGTTCGATTTTCGTAAGGAACAAACGAAGGTCTCCTCTTTCGGTGATATTCAGAAGACTTCTCTGTTTGCTCATAAAATTATTTCTCATCTGTGCGTCAGCTCCCCTCCTCTCCCTCCTCAATTCCCCTCCCCACCTTTTTTTTCTTCCTTTTTTCTATTTTTTAACCTTCCTAGTAGGAAGGCTGAGCTAGGTAGCCCACTTACTATTATTAGTCAACAACAATTCTCTCCTTTTCCTTTTCTTTCTTTCTCCTTTTTTACAAGTACTCTACTCCTTCTTTCTCCTATTCTACAAGTACTCTGCACCTTTCTCCTTTTTACAAATACTCTGCTCCTTCTTACTTCTATTCTACAAGTACTCTGCTCACAGACAAACACACACACACACTCACTCACACATACATTTACAGACACACACTCACAGACAAACACTCACACATACACTTACAGACACACACACACTCACATAGAAAAACATACACACAAACATACACATACTCACACATGCACACACTAACAGACACACAGATACGCACACACACATACTTACAGACACACATACCAGGTTGATGACCCATGATCTAGACTGTATGAAGAAATGGTCTCATCGGATCCCTTGCCATGTACAGTATTCTCCAACCTCATCAGACATTATAAGAGAAGACTCAGAGTTATTATTTTGGCAAATGGAGATAGCACAGTATTAACTAACAGGGTGCCAATAATTGTACCACACACATTTCACAAAGTTTTTTTTTTTATATATAAACCTGTGTTATATCTGCAATTGTTTGATATCTCAGAGAGCAGAGTCTTTTTGTGTTTTTTTTTTTTTAACAAAAGATCAAAAGGCTAAATAATAAAGACAATTTTTACAGCCTTCTTTATTTACCAAGGGAGCCAATATTAGTGGAGTACCATGTAAATCTGCAGACATGTCTATCTCTTTAAAGTGGTTTGCGAGTAGAAAACATTCTGTGCATGCAGTCTTGTGATCAGGAAGTATATGGTTAAAAAGGAAGCTGGGAATTTCCCTGAACCTTCTATATGTACACCTGAGGTATTTGCTTTACAGTGATAAACAAAAGTGTAGAATACGTGTTTTTTGTAAAAAGTTAAGGAGACATTCCGTTTCTAAAGTTACATAAAAGCAAAATGTAATAATTATGCATTCAAGGTTACAATAAATCAGCATGTCATCCTTTACAACAGCAATTATTTCAACTGTCATCTCTGATTCTGACCTTTCAACCTGATTGCATTTTGTTTTACAATACCTTTGGAATTTCCACAGAATTGATCCATGTGTTGTCTCATCCAAAATCATGTTATCTTACGTACATATAGTTTAGACCATGGGAGATCCAGCAGGACCAACCTGACCTGCTGGTGTGTCAGGAGGACTTGCAACCATATATGCATGGTGCAGCTTTCTTAAATGCGGCTCCTTTAGAGAAAATACAACTTTATTTATGGAAGAGGGAACCAATATAGATGATCACACAGTCCTGTGGCGCCTAAGCCAATAACCTGTTTGATGCACGTGTGATGGAAGAGAAACAGTCGGCAAGCTAAACAAAGTTCTGGTGTATACAGGGGGTGAAGGCTTTGTACTGTGGTAGCAAATATTCACATATAATCCAAGAGGAACAAGGTATCCAAGTAACAGACCCTATTCTGCTGCCTTTGGGGTTGGCGCTGTACTTGTACCTCCTCTTCTTTTTTTCTTGTTGTGCTTTGATTTTAAAATATTTACATCTTCCAGTGGTTCTTAGCCTGTTTGTGACGAGGACATTACAAATGTGGCATTAGTTCATTGACCTATTCTGCAACTGTAATGAAATATCTTAATAAAGTAAATTTGTAATTATTCTTTTAACATAATAAACCATATACACAGAGCTGATTTTATATGTAAGGTGTAAAACTGTCCCCCCAATGCAGTCCATTGAAACCCATGATAATTCACATGTATTGGAATCACCATGTCCAAATTAGAAATTGCTGGAGTTCAGTGACCATAACACGCAGCTCCAGATAGACAGGTCCCATTACAAACATACTGCCATAGCCTACACACACACACAAAGTATATGGCACAAATACAGCCCACATATACTTATAACATCAGTGTAGACACAGCTAATTTTAAATATCGTTGTAATAATGTCACAGCATGTGATAATCGTCCGTTCACAATGGTAACATTAATGATGCTGCTGCTGAGTGAGTAAGGGTAATAAAAGATCAATTAATTAAACTGGTAAATAATATTTACCAATATCTAATTACTCATGAATAACTGCCAATTGCAATTTTTTGCAAGTTTTGAATCCTCCTTATCTCATGTTGTAGAAAAAACATTCTACAGTTATTCTCTGACTTTCACAGTGCTCATGAGCCATACACATTGTGCATAACCATGTACGATTCCACTGTATTCACGTTCTTATATTCTTATAAAAATAATCAAACCACAGGTAACGTGCATGTGTGTTTTCAGTTACTCCTTCAAGTGTGATTTCAGTGGACTTAAAACTGTACAATGTATACAGTTACTGAGAGAACATTATTTTAATATGATATAACTTTAAACATGGGTGTCGGCAGAGATTTTTTCCAGGTGGGGGTAAGGGGGGTTGGGGATGGCATAATTGTAATGACATCCATGCTTGGCCCCTTTTTGACAGTGTCATGACGGGGAGGGGCATAGTCAATATCACATAAAGCCAGGGTGAATAGCGTTTTCACAACTATGGTGTCAGGAATACGTGCTTGTATTCCTGACACTATATTGTTCCTTTAATCAAACAGAAAATAAACATTCTGGTCACCATAACAACTTCATCTAAATGAAAATGCTATGATGCCAGGAGGTCCCTGGGTGCACTCTTTCCTTTATGGGGTTAAACCGCTCTCAAATGGTTTAACCCCAAAGAATTCCTCCAGCTCCAGATCTCTAGATCTCTCAGTGGTTTTCGGCTTCTGAAACGGAGTGTCAGGAAGTGCAGATTGACGTCAGGCATGGGTGCCACTGATTGGCTAGAATCAGATGATGCTCTAAGCCAATCACTAGTTTCCGGTTCATAAAAATGTTTGACTAATTTATGAATGGGGAGCTACTGACTGGCGTAGAGTGCAAGCTGACCAATCTGCGGCACCCCTACCAGTGGCACTCTGTGCTTTCTGACACTCTGTAAATAAAAGTGAACACATTAACACTGAGATTTTTTTTACCTGGGGAGATGAGAAGGTCCAAAGTTTCCCTGCCAGGCCCAGGTACCAAAGCCTTATGATGTGGTGTTCATGAATGAAGTGGAGAGATCAATTCACTTGCCCTTCTTATTTCAATCTCCTTTTCTTATTCTTCTTCATTTGACACAGTCTTCTTATTCTTCTGACACTGTCTTCTCTCCCCCTTGGCTTCTTCTGCTCCATTACCTTTCTGCTACTTTCTGCTTCTTTTGTGCCCTTCTGCTCCTTTCTCCTTCTGATCCC